AGGAAGGAAGGAAGGAAGGAAGGAAGGAAGGAAGGAAGGAAGGAAGGAAGGACGGACGGAAGGACGGAAGGACGGAAGGACGGACTGGCGAAAAGGAAGAAAAAAATCACACAAAATAAGGAGAGTATTTGTGAGAAGCCAAGAGGCTGGCCTTAATTGCCCTGCATAAACCTGCATTTCACTCATGACTGTAAGCCACACAATTGCCATAAAGCAAGCAGATAGATGCTTTCTTTCCCTGTTCCCCCCACCACTTTCTATAAGCTGCAGAATTTATATTATTATTTATTTATCATATATGATTGTACTATTGCTGGCACCTAAGCTTTGATGCATCTGTATGGAAGACATAAGATGGGATGCCAGTTTTAGTGTCTTGCTTCCCTTTAGGGATGCTGGACTTTGCAGACCTCTTTGTGTAATAACAGTGGGACACATTCAAGCACATGTGAATCAACCACAGTGGATTGGAAGAGAGATGGGCCCATCTCTGTTCTGAAGCTGCAGCCAAAGCAGCTCAGGAAAAGGGGAGACTGAAGATCCTTGCTTTGATGGGGGCTTCACCAAAGCTGCCATCTTACACATGCTGCTTTCCAATGGCGCTGAAGACATAACTCTCTTCTCCAGATGTTTGGCTTTCAGTCCAGAGGTTCTTATTCCCTGCTTGGGGAAGACCTAATAGAAACTTTTGGAAGGACTGTAGGTTGATAATAGAGCATCACAAATCCAAAGTCCAACTAAATGGATCTGAAAACAAGTCTCAGGTCCTGTCTGGAGAACTTCTGATGCTCCAGATGTTGATGAACGGCAACTATCAGCATCCTCACTGTTGGCCTTGCTGTCTAGAGCTTTTGAGAATGATGATTCAGGAAGGGCAAGCAGTGAAGCTGGGGGAGGCAGATGTTAGTAGTTCTCATAATAGAGGGGACAATTATACTAATATAGATTAGGTCCCTTCAAAGGCCATCAAGAGAATGGCCAAATTTCTACTGACTATGGAGGAAGGCAAAAGACTAAAATTTAAATCCAGGACTGTGGATTTATATAAGGGTTTGATTTCTGTGGACTACAGTGATCTATCTTTTCTGTGTATATGGCTCTATTCTTTTCTGCAATAAAGAGACTAATCTTGTGGAGTTACTTTCAGGGGCCTTCAGACAATTCCTGAAGAAGATATTAAGTATTTGGAGAACCAAGGTTTACATCAGGGCCTGTGAAAAGCCTGGCATCTGGAGAGAAGATGCCAACCACTGCAAAACTGAGTTGATGGAGCACCAGGCTCTCTTGTACTAAGGGAGTTTCTTATAAGACTCACTCCTCCCCCTTTGTAGGCCAACAGTCTGATGTCCTGCAAGAGGCCAGCGTACCCATCATCAGCACCAGCGTCTGCAACAGCCCTGATTACTATGGCAGTCAGATAAGGCCCAGGATGTTCTGTGCTGGTTTTGCAGCTGGGGGCACAGATGCTTGCCAGGTACAGTAGGGTCAGTTTGGCATGGTGAGGAAAGGGTAGGGTACTGTAGATGAAAAAAAGGAGGGGTGTATTAATGGAAGCTTTGGCCCACCAAGCATAGTGAGGGGAATGTGTGGCCAATTGTCCTTGATGCCAAAAGTAATCCAAGAAAAAAATACCAAGCCATATTAGACTCAGTAAAAAAAGTAATGTTTCCGGAACTGGTAAATTTAGCAGTTTTTAAAGGACAACCAAGACCAGTTCTACAGCGTGATTTAAATTCTTTTCTTTGCCTACTGTGCATAACCTAATCTCTGTTAGAGTGAATCCATTCACCCATCTTTGCTTTGAGCTCTTAGAGTTGGACTTGGTGCCCTCTAGAAGTTGGTATCCATAACTTGGTGTCCTCTAGACATTGGCAGAGTCAGCTGGGAATATAAGCTGTTATAGCCAAATACATCTGAAAGACACCAAGTTGGGGAACATTAGGTAGACACTAGGTCTACCTTAAGACCAGTTACCTAGGTGTGGCTTCTCCTTTTTAAATAAAGCAATAGCAGAGGAGGAGAAGAGACCAATCTTGATAAGAACTTGGAGAGCATTTTCCTATTGAAAATTTTACTCCCAGGCTGCTGTTAATCCAGAAGATGTAATTGTTATAATGTGCCAAACCTAAGAAGTGGGGTTCAGCTTCTGCTTCCCATTTCTGCTCCTGACCGTTCTCTTGTAATCTTGTTCCTATCCCCATTATAGCTTTCCCTGACTCGATGTCTTTCAGATGTGTTGGACTAAAACTCCCAGAATCCCTAGACAGCAAAGCCATGTTGGCTTTGAATTCTAGGATAGCAGTCTGATGAATATAGAAATGAGGATGATATACGAATGCAGGTTTTCAACCCAGGTTTCTTCCACATGACAGGGTGACAGCGGTGGCCCTTTTATGTGTGAAGACAGCATTTCACAAATGTCACGTTGGCGGCTCTGTGGCATTGTGAGCTGGGGCACAGGCTGTGCCCTGGCCAATAAGCCTGGTGTCTACACCAAGGTTACTGATTTCCATGGGTGGATCTACCGCACAATAAAGGTAAATGGCATGGGAGTGAAGGATGCTCCAGAGAAGCTGCTGTGTGAGTCTGTGATTGGGTTCACACAACTTGCTTAATCAAGTTAAAGGCTATTCACACAACATGCTAAGTTTGGTTTAAGCTTGGGTTAATGGGGGGGGGGGAGGGAACAGAGAACGGTGTTCAAAGCCCGCCTGTTTTATTAGTTTATTTTTCAGCGCATTGCACAAGCCATCAAAATTGGTTAATTTAGCTGCAAGATTAAGTATTTTGTATCAATGCAATCACTAAATGAGGTGGTCTTATCTTTCCCCCTGCCCCCCCCCCCCCCCCCATGTGACACCAAGATGATCTAACCTTCCTTTTGGCTCCTCAAGCCTCTCTGCCCAAACTCTGAAATTTCAGTGGAACAATTGCTGAAAATCAGTAACACAATTTCTTGCCAGTTTTGAGGCAGGAAATAAGAAAACCTGTATTGTAAGCCCCAAAATAGTAAAAACACAGCTTAATGAACACATAACGAACCTAATCCTCCAACCACTTTATCAGAGAAGACACCTCTTCAGTAAGGTGGAGAGAAAGACAGTCAGAAAGTCTCTGCCTTGTAAAAACACAGCTTAATGAACACATAACGAACCTAATCCTCCAACCACTTTATCAGAGAAGACACCTCTTCAGTAAGGTGGAGAGAAAGACAGTCAGAAAGTCTCTGCCTTAAAGTACACATAGATATATTGGTTATAATTTGAAACTAGTTCACTTGCTTGAATTCTTGTATCACCGCTGCTTTCACTTTAATAAAGTTTGCTAAAGAGAACTTGAAGAGGCTGAGGCTGGGAGAAATCACTTTCAGTTTAGGCAGCTATCTAAGGTTTGACGCTATGTTTGCCACAATCCTAGTCTACTCAAGGGTAAAAGGTGGGATAGTTAAATCATAAGTCAGACCTCCCCTTCTCAGCCAGTTATTGACCCCATTGCTTCAACAGTGATCCCCCATCGCTGATTTGATTAACTGGGGAAAGAAGTAGAACCTGGACTTGGCTCAGTTTTTCTTTTAGTTTATTTACATTGCCAGAGTTCCATGAGATGAAAAACCCAATTCAGTTCATGTTCTTTTGATGTGTTGGAATGATGTTGGTTGGAGGTGTTGAAAATTAGAGTATCTGAAGTCTGTCAGGTTGGGAAAGACTGGATGAGAAAGTACCACTTTCCTGGCAGCTGGAGATCTTCATCTGCTTTGTTTCATGTTTCTTTTCTGCAGCTAAATTCCCACACTAGTGGGTTGATGATTCAGAAATGAAATGCCAGGAACTCAAATACTGATACCTTCCTAGCCTCCTCCCTTTCCAGCGAACTGCTGTTGTTTCAAAAGGAAGAAAAAGAATCAAGGAAGAAGGTGAAAAAAATGGAACAAACGTAATGATATCTTTGGCCTGGCCAAATGTGAGAGGAATGGGACAGTCCTTGCCAAATGCTAAAGGTGTCATGGCACATTGGCTCTTTAAAGCTTTTGATAAGATGCTTTTGTTGTGTCACCTTGTCTTAGTGGCGCTTCTGGTCCTTCAGATGCTCATCTATGGATGAGTTTCTGCGCCCAGCTTCCCAAGGCATTTGTGGTCGGTTAAGGAGTGGCTTCTGGGTGGGCTCCTGCTACATAAAATCACATGCACAACTTTATGAGTTTAATGTCATAACTTTAATGGATGCACTTGGATTAAAAGATTGTAATAAAAATCCTGACTCCAGCAGATCATATATTGAAGGCAAAAGCTAAAATCTCAAATTTCACTAGTATAGTGGATTTGCATGATGTCATTTCACATCTATTCATTTTCACTGGATTAATAAGCTGTCGTAACAATGTATCCCAACAGACTATTTTATGATTCTTTGGTTCTTGAGCTCTGTTGTCCAAACTTCTTTAGATCAGGTCTTCTCAACATGATGTTCCTTAGGTGTGTTGGATTATTATTTTCCTCATTCCTAGTCACAGATCACGCAGTTATATCCTTCAGATGTGTTGGAGTACAAAGATGATTGGGGAAACTTGCTTTAAATCATTAGACTTCAGCCCATCTTGTTTACATTGCACATGTGTTTTCACACAACTTTCTCTCTGCTCTCCCTTTATTGGCTCAGAATTTTAATAGTGGAAGAACTTCATTATATGATTAATGGAATTAACTAAACAAACTTGGAATCTAGAGGGGAAGGCAGATGGAAAAGGAAACCGGAAGACCATGAGAACATGAAGGAGGTTTGGATGAACATAAAATAAGTTACTGCAAATAGATTGGGCTTGAATCCTACTGTGGATTAGCAAGAACAGAAAGTTTATATACAGGAGAGGATAATTCCAAGGGTGAGAACTCCTTCCCTGGCTGAATGAAAAGCAGGCATAAAGGCTGATGGGTCAGCTCTTCTGTGTATCCAATAGAAGAGAATATATGTAGCTCAGGGTTAAACTGTGGAGTCCTTGGTGCTCTCTGAGCGTGGTTGTTTGCAGATGTTTCATTACCCAATTAGGTAACATCCATGCTAGTGAGGGTGGGGTTGTCTCCCTGTTTATATATGGAGTCTTCTGTGTATGCTGTTGGGTTGTCTGCCCACTTGACGGTTCCCTTATATTAATGTGTGATGGGGAAAAGACTTAGAGCCCTTCAGATGATCCTTTTCTTCTTGTATATCCCTTTGAAGAGTCTCACCCAACCTGGTGCCTTGGCTGGCTAGAATTCTTGGAATTGCAGTCCATTACATGTCATAGAAGACATCAGTTGGGGAAAGGTCTCTTGAAGCTTAGTTCCTGTCCTATATCATTTTCAGTGATGGAGTCTGACTGCTTGCGTCTGTTGGTATACATCTTAGACTTAGGAAGTGACACAGTGATATACAGTTGTATCTGCTTGCGCTTTGTTAACAATTATGATTTATAAATTATCAGCTAAGTACAATCGACATTTTCTTTTTACAAAGAAACTTTCTGTTTTTACTTTTGGCTGAGGCCAATACCTTCCAATGCCAGGAAGTATCTAAGAAAGTCCATTCATTATGTTTTCTTATATTGTATATAGATGACTATACTGACTCTTCTCAGCCTTATTTAATCATGTACACTCAGACTGTATATATTTCATAATTGTAATGATCTCAATAAAGAAAACTGGTTTTGACTGTAGGCAGTTCTTGAATTTTCATGTGGATTTAATTAGACTCCCCTGAGGATCCACTAATAGCCTCCTTGCTTGACCATGAAAGAATCTGTTGGTGTTTTAGCTAGATCAAAACAATTTAGGAATAAGGGGCTGTGTCCTCAATGAAATATGTGTGGTTAAATATTTGAGCAACCCAACAGCTCTGCAGAGCTTCTCTGAATTCCTGTGAAGAAAGATGGAGGGTAGGTATACCAATTCCCTATAACAGCAGAGCTTCCTTGGAGGATCTGGATCAGGGGTTATCAATGGTTATAAAAATTCAGGCAATAACTATGATCATATAGAGATTTGGGATGTGATTTTCCTCAGATGGATGATGCATCTGCTCTTTGAGATAAAAAGTATGAGTTGTACATTTTAAATTTTGGTGTGCAGTTGTTACATAAATGTGCATTATACCGGGCATTGTTCTAGGTCTCTAGGTTGATCACTAAGGTTTCTGATATTAACAGGAATGCTTGGCTGTTCAGCTTCTTTTTATGCATTGGCCCTTCTGGGACTCTAGGGATCTCTAGGAACTGGAGGAATCACAGAACATATAGAGATGTTTATCACAAGAGAATGTGGGGCATGAACATGATTTTTTTATGGTATTAATAATCCATTTTTCCCCTCTTTCTGTAGTTTGATATGTTCTCTCCCCACAATCTAAAGTAGATCCCTCCAAACTTGGTACCCTGTAGATATGTGAACTTTAGCTCTCAGAATCATCAATCTATCATGATTGCTGAGGAATTCTGAAAGCTGAAGTCCATACTAGCCAGGTGTATTCGGCTGCCCAGAAATCTAGCAAAACTGGAGTAATATCCTCACTGAAGAGCTTTGCACATTTTGAAAGATCTGGAAGTGAAGCAGGTAGAGATCTATGCCAGCACCCAGACACTCTTCAATATTGGAAGTGGGGTTCTCCAAATCCCAAGTCAATTTAACTAAGACTTATGTCTCATAAGGGTGTGTTTCTTTCACTAATAGCTCACCAATATCTATTCCTGAGAACTTTTGTTTCTTCACAAGTAAAGAGAGAAGGATTTATTGCATGGTCTGAACAGCAGAGGACAGCAAACTGTAAAATTTGCCTTCACTTTCATGGGTATTTTACACATCCAAAGCAGCCTCACTTAATTTTGCAACATCATAGCTTGGAACAATGCTTCTTTCCAAAGCCCCTTCTCTCCCATTGCAGACCTACTGAGGTTTACTTAGCTGAGTTGTTAAGGGTGGCAGGAAAGGCCCTCTTGAAGATGTTACCTCTGATAGAGGCTTGTCTTCCCGGTACATGAGAGAAGACCATCTCCTCTGTTCTCCCAAGTTAGAGAAGGCATTCCCTGGGGTGCTGTATTTGGCCCTTCAAGGTTTAAGAAATCTTTAACCAGATTTTTAGTTTTAGTATTTATTTTATTGTTAATTTTATCTATATTTTTGCTTTTTATAACCTGTTTTTGTTTTAAATTTTATTAGCCACCTTGAATGCTCGGCAGAGCAGAAAGGCAGGGTATAGATAAGAAAAATAAAACCAACTGCCAGTTTTTACCTTGCTCTGTTCCCTTTCTGTTGGTTCTCCCAGAGATTAAATAACATAATATCCCAACTGTAACTTACAGGTTGCATTACACAAGACATTTAGAACATGGGGACCATTTCCAGTTAGGATATTTTATGTAATTTCCTGCTCTTCAATCATCAAGTTCTATACCTGCAGCTGGATCCAGATGTCATAGTTACAGTAGATCAATGGAAATCAACATAGTTATCAAATGATACTTCCTCATAAGGTTTCTATACCATCTTGAAAGCAGCTCCAGACTTCTCACAATTTCAACAGTACTGCAGAGCTGACCTGGTTTATTTCTCACTTGGCTATGTTGTAGGCAACCCCCACCCCATTTCCTCCTCCTCCTCCTCCATTTCCCTTTTGGAACATGTATCTTGCCTCATTCTTTGCCCCAGAAATGAGCCAGCAAACTCATGTTGTGACAGAAAATGTCTTCTTCCAGAAAATCGAAGAGAAGAAGACACTTAACAACTTCTTCCTACCAGAGAGTCTTTAGGATGAGAAAGGAAAGCTGATGAGAAAGCAGAGCCTAAGAAATCTTAATAGAAATGCATTTTCAAGAGCTCAGATATTAGGCCAAACTATTCATAATATACTGTATGTAGTTGACAGAGGGATTTTTTAAAAAGAAAAGTGCTATAAGAATGTGGAGTCACAATCCCAACTGAGTCCATTGCCACAGTTGGGGATGCTTAAACTTTCCTCTCTGTTTCTCTCCATGTATTATATATGAAAAAATGATCCTGTTGTTCTGCATCTTCATAATCTTCATCTCAAATGGCTCAAGATGTTAACTTGGCTCTGTAATTTGGAAATTCTTTCTTCAGATGTGAGCAATAATGGTATAGCCTAAACAGCAGAAAGGATCAGATTTCAAAATAAGCTCAACATTTCAAAGATACTTTATATTTTCAAATTAAAGAACAGTTCTGGGATTATTCCACTTCGCTTTCAGCTGACAGAATCAAGCAGTGTATTGCAACTGTTAGCAGCTGTGGACAAAGTCTGACTCCTCTGAACTGTACTGATTTCACAAGGGTGTAGGCTGAACAGTAGAGTGATTGTAATACTATTATGGATAAAAGTTTAGATACAAAGTAGACTGTATATTCAGGACAAGAGTTCAAGTAAAATGCATTGTTGGATCACCTGGGGGAAGCTCAATTGTCATCTACATTAGACATGACAAAGAAGAGTATCAGTTAAGGCTTTGGTCAAACAAAAGTTGGTGTTTCTATTAGTTGGGTTTGTATTCATTTTGGACTCTGCCATTTAGTCTTAAAAGAGCTACCAATATGTTTCAATGATTAAAAGGTTCACTGGCCACTTTCCTGGTTTTGATATTGCTTATATAGATGATGTGGGAAGAACATTCTAATCATTTTGATCTTGCATTCAGAACTACAAGAAATAAAGGTTTGTGTCTAAGTTCAGCTGAGTACCACATTATCCAGTTACACGCCCAATATTAGGCATACATGTTAGGGAAGGAGGAAGTGTGGCCTGTGGTGAGAAAGTTTCAGACTCTGGATTCTTTCTGAATGGGATTGAAAAGCCAGCCACCAGGGCAAAAGATGTACATAGTGAATTTGTCCCACAAATTGTCACATATACCTCTCCCTTGAGAAGAGAAGAGCAGCTCTTTTAAAAAAGAAGTTGTGCGATGAGTTGGGGAAAAGAGAAACCTGGCTGGTTTTTTTATTTACAACAACTGTGGGACATTAGATGGGGTAAATAAGGCTGGTGAGAAGAAGAATAAGACACCAAAGGAGGTGTCTTATTTCTATTTTAGGCCAACATCATCCAAGGGGAACATCAAAATATGTGACGTTTGCTAATCTTTGTCCCCCATTACCTTGGAGGGAGTCAGATGAGTAGCAGTGACTGGGGACAGAGACAATAGGGGCAGCAATAGGGCAGCCAATGTTCTGCAGCCAAGCACTCTTCAACTCAATGGTGGGGGAAGACCCTATGTCTTAAAGAGCTCATGACCTGAGGGACTCCCCCCTCTTTTTTTATGTACTTGTTCTTTCTGCAAATGGAGCAGTAATGGCACAGTCCAAATAATGGCCTATATGTTCATTTTTGCATGGGTGCATCTAACTGCTAGTCATCTCCTCGCTTAACAGCCTTATTTGCAGTCCTGGTTCCTCAATACATTCACAGGTGCTGATTAGCTCTTCTTCTAAAACGTTCCTTGCTGTTCTATTTGCACGCTTTGAAATATGAAGGACATAACTAAATCTCAACCTTGACTCTTGCTGTGTACAAGGAAAAAAAATTTTTCTAGTCCACTACAAGCAAAATGTCTATCAAAAATGGCCTTTTTTCTTTAATTTTGTGTGCATATATGCATATTCTGGGATTGTTCTGCAAAAGCTCAATGACTATCAGTGTTCTTAATAAATATTTATATAACTTGTGATCTATTCCTGTAATGTTGTGGAATTTATTAGACAAGATGATTTACTTTCATTGATTACTTCTGTGAACATCATTTCTACAAGAGACATTTCGTGGGTGAAATTTGCATGTAATGTATCATATTTCTGAATATGAGGCTAAATCCAGGTTTAGTTGTTTATAGAGAAGATTTACTGAAATCATTGAGACTGAAGTTCTCACTATTGATCATCTTCAATGATTTGTTTCAAGTGTGTAAACTAACAAGTCTATTCACTCACAAGAAGTTTCCATGGCTGAGAATGGACTTGAACCTGGTTTCCCTGATTTAGTTCAACATTTTAATCCCCACACTACATTAAAATAGTATTATGTGTCTAATCAACAAACCATGGTTAAATAAGCCATAACCAAGGATGGTGTGCAAACACCAAAATGGTCACTTCACATTATCTATGAATTTTAAGGTCTGCTGTGGGAATGTCTCTGTTTAGACAGGTTTGTCTGGAACATAGTTCAACCCTAATGGCTTAGCATTATGTGAAAACTGAACTATTATGGCTTAGTTAACAAACCATAGTTTAAGAATTATGATGTAGTCCATTGGGTCCAGGCATAGCGGGGAGGAGGCAGGAGTTAACAACTGTGCCAAAGACTTAGATTAGGTCCAAAACAATCAGCACCACGGAGAGCTCCCGGCGTATACTTGAGATGAGGCCGGACTTGAATCAACTGTCAAGGAAAACCAACCCCAAATGAAAGGCAGGTCTATGATCCACGTTGTGAGGGGCTGGGGGACAGTTAACCGAAAGGCAATAGGGTGAACAAACCAAAAACAATACAATATAAAAAGGATATAGAACTATAAAACTATCATATGAAAAGCAAAGGATGATACAATGTGGGGGTAGCAGGGACATAGGGCCCATCATAGGGAATCCAGGCTTAAATAAAAATAAGGTTAAAATATGGTTAACATTTATATTTTTACAAAAATTCCATATATATGCCTTCAAGTCAGTCTTGACTCCTGGCAGCTGCCTGGACTAGTCCCTACAGTTTCTATGGCAAAATTTCAGAAATTGGTTTGCCCTTGCCTCCTTCTCAGGGCTGAGGGAGTTACTGGCCCAAGGTCACCCAGAGACTCCATGACCAAGGCAGGAAAAGAACTTACAGCCTCATGATTTCTAGCCTGATGCCTTAGCCACTACACCAAACTGACATACACACACACTACTGAGCAGAAAGACTATTAGATATGAATTTCAGAAGAATCAAGGCAGGAAGTCCACTGTGCACAGTACTTAATTCTACGTGATAGCTTCAAAGAACTACAGCTCTCATCATTTTTAGAGCTTTCACAAGAACTTGACCACTTCCAGGTTAGTACTTTTCTCATTTCACCTACACTTTTACATGTGAAGGTCATTGCCTCTTCCAGTTCACTTGGAAACTGTCTCTTATTTTCAGAGCTTTTTTGAATTTGGAGAACAGTTTCTATTTGGACAACCATTGCTTGGTGAGTCTATTTAGAGACTTTCATTCTGGAATGCTGCATAAACTGAAATTGCCCAGAACAATCACTGCTGCAGCCTATACCAGGATCTCCATAAATCTACTTCATGACATGTCCAATCAGTTTTTGGTTCCTTAGGTTCAGCTCTCATTAGTTAGCACCCTTCACTAGTTTTGGAATGGATGGAGAGGTCATTGCGTCTCCTCAAGGAGTTAGCTCTGGGTAATTAATGCTCCTTTTTTCTTTCTTCTCCCAGAGTGGCAGGATAATGAAGATTAGCCTGCTCTGAGGCCCCACAGCATGTGGAAACAATAACAGTGTTGCAGGAGAATGATGGCACATCCGCCTGAGGGAGAGGAACGGAGCACAGAATAGCTAATAACTGGTTAATGGTTAACTGAACTCTTTTTTCTCCCAACATTACTTTGCCAGTAGCCAAGAATGCCAGGCAGGTAGGGTCCAAATTAGGAATTAAAGAATTAATCTATTAGTCTATGTCAGTTTCTCACACACTGTTTTCTGTCCATGGCAGTTTCTCATGCATTTGATCTTCAATCCGTTCCATTCCTTGTGAGTTTATGCTGGCATCCTTTCATTAAAAGAAAGACCATTTACTTTTCTTTTCACATGAAATGTATGCAGTTTCTCTAATATACAGACTAGCCATAGTTTTTCAAAGGAGACTGTGAAATTTGGGCAAGCATGCAAATTCATCTCTGTATATTAATGTGAATTAGGTTAATATCAATTATGCGCTCACTATCCTAACCTGGATCACAATTTTCAGAGTAGTACATCATCATTTTGCTGCATTTCAGCCTGGTTAACTAATGCCCTAACCTATGTTAGATTAATGGGCCCTCTTGATGTATGTATTACTGCTACAACCATTAACCACCATTATACTCTTAACAAGACTATTCCATCCTCTGCTCCTTCATGTTGGAGAACAGGCTTGAAGTCCAGTTAGTTTTATGGAAGGGATCTTGCAAGTCTCCTAGTCCAATCCCCTGCCTAGAGCAGAAATTCTCATACCATCCCAGACAAATGGCTATCCATGTTTTGCTTGAAACCTTTCAGTGATGGGGCACTTGTGACTCCAAAAGACAGGCTGTTCCTCTGCTTAGTAGCTCTCACAATCAGGAAATTTCTCTTTATTTCAAGTTTGGATCTTCCTCTGTAAAGCTTCCACCCATTGGTTTTTGTTCTACCTTTGGTCTCTATGAATAATAAATCCATACCCTGTTCCCAATGACAACCCTTCAAGTATTGAAGGACTACTATCATGTCTTCCCTTAGTCTTCTCTTCTTTAGGTTATACCCAGTTCTTTTAACTGTTCTTCATAGGGTTTGGCCTTCAAACTCCTCACCATCTTTGTTGCTCTTGTTGGCACTCTTTCCAGCTCCTCAGCATCCTTCTTGTATTGTGGCAACTACAACTGGATCCACTGTTCCAGGTGTGGCCTAATGAATGCTGCATAGAGCAAAACTATCACTTAACACTATACCTCTCTTGATGAAGTCCAAGATTTCATTGATTCTTTTGGCAGCTGAAGCTCACTGCTGGCACATGCTTAATCTGTGGTCTATTAGGACACCCAGGACACTATGTTCAAATCTACCAAGTTCTTGAAGTGTTAGCAATGCTTTGTGTTATCTGCCAATTTGATGAGCATCTCTTCTATCCCCTTGAGATGTTAAGGGCTTTTTTCTTACTGCTAGCTGAGGACCCAACCATTACACTGATGAACTGATGGCTCAAGCTAATTAGTGCAGAGAATCCTTTCTGTGCTACATTCTCTTTTCTGCACTACATCCTTTTGGTAGGCATTCAACCCTATTGTTTTCCCTCTCTCTCTTTCTGTCTCTTATTTCTGTGGGGTGGGTGAGAGGAAGAGGAGAGATCAGCTTGGATCATTCCCCTACCCTCCTCCGTAGAGAGTCAGTTTTAAGCAACCCTGACTTAAAACTGAATCATGATTCATTTGAGTCTAATCTATGAAAAATTAGACCATACATAAAAACCAGGCATCCAGAGCTTGTGGGAACCAGCCTGTCCAAGGTCATCTTTTAACTCATCTCTGGTTCCAGATTCTGTCAGTGTCCACGCAGTGTGATTGACTAACAGCCATAGTATCATAAGCTCAAGGCATTCAGAATTAGCTTAATAAGCTCTTATCTACTTGTTGGAAATATAAGGAGATGGAGGAGCTGAATCATCACTTGATTTGCCTTGTATGCTTTTGTTAGGCGCATGGCAAGCAGAAATCCAACTGACAACCACTGTCCATACTGGGAAGTGATTCCTTCCCCCCTCCTCCTGCAACTTTCAAACAGGTTTTACCACATGAGTGATCTTCAGAAGTTTGTGTGTAGGTGTGGTGGTGGAATGGGTCTGGCAAAACAATATATAAATGTGACTGATACATAAATAAATACTCAAAGACCAAGGATATATCTTCTGCCAGGAAAAGTTTCTCATCCTTGTTTTAGTGTGGCTGCATTCACACAATTTGTTTAATCTGATTATTGAAATAGCACATTCGTTTGTGTTTGTTCAGTAGGTCTAACAATAAATGAACCGAAAGGCCAGGATGCACACAAGATGCTAAGCCATAAATGAATCTAACCAAGATTAAAACTAAACAAACATAGCTTGCGTGAATGCAATCACGAGGTTTGTAACTGGCCTCGTTAAGCATGTTTTGTGAACCCAGCCAATGAGGATGGCATGTTGATGCTTAAATCAATCCTAAATCTCCCCTTTATGGTGTAATAATGCAGAAAAACAATTAGCTATGGCAGTATTTCTGCCCACCTCTTACTTTTGCTGATGCTAAGAGAATCCATTACTTTAAATTGTAATGTGTGATATTAGGTTTAGCTACAATGGGAAAACCCAAAGAACACTTATATCCTTGTCAAAATGTTTCTACTCATGCTGGGCTGACAAATGACTCTATTCTTTCCTATGTGTGTGTTTAGAATTAGTTCTCAATTGCACTTTCTGGGAGATCCTATATAACCCCTCCTGATGTATTTAAGAAAACCGAGTGTAACAAAGATCGGTGATTTGACCCTTCTCAAGCCCGGCTCTGCAGACAACTGATGGGTAAGAATTTTATGTTGGGGTCAGAATGAAATGGGTAGAAAGTTTCTCCTCCCCCCCCTTTGGCAAATATTTCTATTGATCTGCCCCCACTTCACTGATTTTTCAATCATGGTTTAGTATGCAAACTAACCGTAGACAGATTCAGCTTGGAATTCTTATTTTGTCACCAAGTTCATCAGGTCAGTCTTGCTGGATCAGTCACGCTCATGTTTTTTTCCAGCCCCAACCCTCCACCCCCACAAGGCAATTGGAAGGATAAAGTCAAAAAGAGAGAGCAACATTGATTTGTGTGCAAGTGGCATTTCACGGATGCAATCCATCTGCGGAATATTAAAATGAAAGAGTTGGTGGGAAAGATGAACAGATGAAGGATTGACAGGCGCACCGACTCCCACTGTTTACATTATAAGAGTTTTTAACACAGCCACAGTTACTTGGGTCTGGTGCTTTAAATATGAAAAAAGCAGGTGGGAAGAGGCTGTAGAAATTCTGATGGGAATAAGGGCTATCAGAAGGCGAAAATGAATTGCAATTCCTATCAAGGAAACAAAATGCTAGCATTTTTTTAAAAGGCAAAGTATTTCTGAATGCTCGGTGAGGTTTTTTTTTTTTTTCATATGCAAGTTGCTGATGGACTGAGCAGGAAATGCCTTTAAAATGACAGCTGTTGGAGTAAGATTTGCTTTAATTAGGCAGACTCTAAACCAGTGTTTCTCAACCTTGGCAACTTGAAGATGGGTGGACTTCAACTCCCAGAATTCCCCAGCCAGCATGGCTGGGTGGGGGATTTTTGG